CCTAGGTTTGGTTTGGGAAGTCCAGGGGGTGGGGGGATGGGATATAACATTGTGTAATATCTGTGATGTATTTCTTTTTCTTTTATGATGAAAACAATAAAATTTTATATTGAAAAAAAAAAAGACATACTGTATGCCATTCCAAGGCTGTTTTTGGCAAAACAGAAGTTGCACGTCTTGACCTTAATTTCATGTGACAAAGAATGTATTTGTATATGGACAGTAATTGTAATGGTACATGAGAAAGACTTAGAGAGGATGAAGAGATGGTGCCTAAGGAACAGTCAGATAGGGGACCCCATAGTCTGCAGCTGGATAATAGATGAAGAAAGAGGCTCAGAAGGGACCCTCCCAAGCTTCTCAAGCTGTAAAGGAGATGGGCAGGAGTTCTCTACTTTCAGACTTGCAATATTCTGTTAATGTATCCTTACAATAAAGTAAAATTAGTTCATCTGATCATGTTACCTGTCTAGTCTACCTGAGAAGCCTGTAATATTTTAAACTTAGGAGTCATGATGAGGCATGTGACCAAGAAGAACCAAGTAGCAATTGTAGGGTGCTCACCTTTCCAAAGCTGCCTTTTCCTAATACTTTAATGAAGTTAAATTCCTCCAGGCCCATTCGCTTTGTCTGAGCTTTGACTTCTCCATTTTCCCCATTCTCCCCAGATATGTTAAGTTGGCTGTCAGTTGAGCTGGTTGCTGCTCCCCTATGTTCTTCTCCCCGATTGTCAAATGATAATGCTTTCCTAATGTTATTTTCAAGCTCTTTGATTTCTGTGTGAAGACAAAAAAAAGTACTGACAGGCAAGATATTTTACAAAAACCTCTGCAGGATTTTATATTAATTTTAGAGACAGATGAATTATATCAGATGCTTTTTGAGTCACAAAGAATGAGAGGTTATGGTCCATCCCAATTTTACGCATACTTTCTTGACTGAATTTAAACTGGTCTGGGGGTATAAAACAAAAGAATCTTGTGGGAAAATGTATGCCTCAAGTAGAGAGCAGCCTATCAGATTTTGGCTCTGCTCCAGGATTCCTTTGGGAAATTCAGAGCCCTTAAAGGATTCCCTGACATTGCACACTGGAGACTTAACATGTGACATAGAATTGGGTTGTTTTGTCATTTAAGGCAGCAATGATAAACTGAGGCTCCAGGGCTATCTATACCTCCAAAATGTCTTCTGAGTATTAATATTGACAACTGGTGGTATAATTTTTTGCCATTTTGAAATTTAAATGCAAATAAAAAGCTCTAAACTCATCATAAAAAAGAAGAAATAATTGAGTAACAACTATTTGTCTCTTAACTCCATTTATTGTGGACACACAAAAGACACTACCAAACTTTGGTTTTTCTTGTTTGAGATTATTAATTATTAAATCTCAATAATTAATGGTTTAATCATTGGGATTTTTTAAAAAACAGTTACAATGTTGGGTCAGACAAGATTTTAAGGCTTTTTGGAATGCTATCAGCGTGGGAGCTATACAATGCTTAAGGGGACATCATACAAGGCACTGCTACAAGAAAAATATGCTTCCTGTATCCCAAAAGATGATGACACAGCTTAATAGAGGGGATCTGAAATAGGCCCACTCTGCCAGATCATATTGGGCAGGCAGCCATCACGGAAGACAGGCAGTCCTGCAAATAGCTAGATCCTGTGCAAGGTAGGGTTTCACAGGTGATAACCAGGACCTTGAATTACATCCAGAAGCACAATGGCAATCAGTATAGCTCAAGAAACAGAGATGTCACATTAGTGTGCTGAGACAAAGCAATCACTGCTAATTCTGGACCAATTGAAGCTTTCAGGGAAGGGGGGGGTCTTCAAGGGAACCCCATGTAGACTGCACTGCAACAGTCACACTGTAAAGTGACAAGGGCATGAGTGACTATCTGAAGGCTGACTGATTCAAATTATGATATTGTTTAAAGGTTGAGTGTTCTGTTAAATTAGAACTGGTGGAGCTGCATTTTTAAATGACATAGTTTAGTCAAACTGTTAAGGTAAATGCAATTTATTTATTAGCAAAAAATATATGTTCATGAACCTTGATCACATGGGGAAGTTGGTGCTGACTTTGATCTGTCATCTTCTCCTGGTGAGGATCCAGGAACTGGCGGTTGAGATTCTGCACCTGGAACAAGCTAAGAATAATCCAACAAAAGAGATACTTAATCACAGTTATGTGGTCTTCTGACATGGCATTTATGAGACACTAAAGATGTAACTTCACATAACAATGATTTTCTGCACTGGAGAAAGGCAACTGAAAATACATTTTATCTTTAATCAAAGTTTAAAATTTCAACTTTTTAACCCCTTTAAAAACCTTAACTTTTGAAATAGGATTTTAATAAAATCTTGATGGAAGCAATAGATATACTTCTAACAAAATATTGATGACATATGAAACTGTGCAAGACTAAAATCTGAGTGGGTTTTAGATAGATTATGTTCACCAAAGCTAAGGATGTTGATTTAACAATTTTTGTAGGCGCATGAGCCAAAAGGAAGATACAATTTCATGCTAAGATTTAAACATATATAGCTTGATCAGAAATCCAACAGCAATTTCAAGACTACGCTAACCATTAAGAAATCTGTGCTGTTTTTTGTATGGAGCCTCTCTTGGAAATGCTCAGTGTTCCATATAAAAAAGATGTGAGAATTTATTATCAATAAATATATTTTTCTGTGTCAGTCCCTCCCCCTTCCTTTGTGGAACAGCTTCCCTTGGAGGACTGGTTAGCACCAATCATGATGTCATTCTGCAAGGCTAAAGAGAACTCTTCCATAAGACTTTTCAATTTTGATATTGTGCTGCTATGACTGGTTGGCACCACCTAGTGTTATTATTTTTCTGTTTTTATTGTTCTATACTGTTCTTTAATCCACCATTTTATTTGTATATCTGTTTTATTTGTATATCTGCTTTATGTTAGAAGTGACTGTGAGTTGATCCATGCTTGCTAGTATTAAGTTCATTAAATATATATATATAGCAGGCTGACAATATTAAGTGAAAAAGCAGCACATGCTATTTCTCCTTCACTATTAAAGTCAATGAAGCAACTGCAAAAAACAATGTTTTCAATTCTTTAGACACCTAGCTGGGAGAAAGCCTTACTATCCATAATAGGATTTACATATTAGTGTACACTGATTGTATTGAACATGTATCTCTTGGTACAACTAATATATTATCTGCATGTGTTATGCTTTCCAACTGATTCGTATTTGTGTGGAAGGATCAGCTTTGCAAATATCTACTAAATTGTTTCAGAAGAATGTTATTTTGCTGTATTTCCATCTGACATCATTGTAATAGCATGGAGGGCAGAGAGTTTTTCAACTAGATAAGAGTATTTACATTTAAGAGTATTTACATTCATGTGTGTTCTCAGAAAGCGACTTCAAAGCAGTGGCTGTGATGTTTATGTGGCTTCCTGACAAGAAATGTTCTTTCTAACAATTGATAAAAGAATGCAACCATCTGTGACTTCACTGCTACTAAGGTTAAATGAGTCTAAGGGACAAATTGCTAATAATTGTCCCTTCATATGTTTCATATGCATGATGCAGCTTCGGGTTTTGATTATAATTTAATTAATTACAGAGATGGAAGGCAGGAGAAATTGGAAAACTGGAAATTTATCTCCTTCCTTCCAGTATGTAGAGACTTTCTCACCCAAAACTCAGATCCCTTCTGATCTGATTTATGATAACCATAAATTCATTTCTATTGGATTACTTCTGTGAGGAAAATTGTTCGCAGCTAGCAAGAGAAGAGAACTGTATCCTCCCATTCCTGTTGTGCTGCAAACACCCACCCTTAAGATTTTTAATTGGAAATAAAGAGCTTTTTGTCTGATGTCACATATATTTTCAGGGTATCCTTTAGTTTTCAGTCTCTTCAAAGATAACAAAAAATTAATCTGGTATTGTAATTCTAAAGCAGGATGCAGGGTATTTACTTGGGTCATGTAATTTAACAGAAGGGAAGAATAAATGTGTGGACGGTAATCATATTCATTTTCTTTAATTAAAATAACTAAAAGTATTTGTTCTAACCTACAACATGCTATTCAAAGGGCTAAAGTGGCCCTCAGATTGAAACAAGTTATGTACCCTGACTGATTGTGCTTGTGTACAGAAACTCTAGGTGAAATGCAAATTCATGGACTTCAAACACAATGTCGAGCCTTATTCAGAGGTAACTTCATATAGTTACTATATCAAGAAAAACCTAGAATTTGTTCAAAATGCAACAGTCTAAATCTAATTTCTTTCTGTCATAATTATTTAAAGCCAGAAAAAATTACAGTATACTATAGTACATTATAAGTGATGCAGGTTTGTTGTAGCAAAAGTCATCTGCAAATCAGGAATTCAGCAATGATTAAAACACCCCTGTCCAGTTTTTTATCATCTAGATACATTATAGATGGATTACAGCTCTATAATTTAGATATCACCAAATTAAAGAAGGTTATTTTAAATACTTACCTTGACTTATGACAGCATTATCTGTTACCACTCCACATTACTGGCTACTATTTTGTAAAGAAAGGGAGTAGGCCAACATTTTCAGTGGCACCAGAAATACATATTTGGGATGGGTGAAATATTTCCAGGTCATTGCTACTTTTGCACGTTTTATCCAGACAACACAGAAGCATTGCACTGTCATGCTTTTACATTAACTTGCAAATTTCTCTCCAAAAATGTATTCTAAATATATATTTTAAATTGCTAAAGAGGGACATTTGGAAAGAGGAGGAAGCCTTTTCAGCAATTCGTTGTTGTGAAATCTGACAGACAGCTGAAGTCCAATCTGCCCATTGGCTTGTGAGGGTCAACATCAGGTCATTTTGTTTAAGAAGTGACCAATACAGTCCTTGAGGATCCTTAAATCAACCAGAATATATAGTTATGCTCTGAAATCCAAACTAAAATAAAAGGACACAAGATGTCTCCCATGCTTCACAGTACAGAACCATTATTAGTTCATATTTTAAACTGTTTCCTTGGTTACCTTCTTCCTCCTTTGTCCGCTATTAGTGATCTTATCTGGAGTAACGCCAAGATCCGCAAGTACTTTAGCTATTCCTCTAGCATCTACTCCACAGTTGGGTGCTACGTTTGTTTCACAGCGTCTATGTACATTCATCTTGCAAACTGTAATTTAAACCAACAGAAGAGGAGGGGGCAAGAAAGATCCAGGTTAAATAAGATTAAGCTGTCCTGATATATTACTGTGCTTTGCGCACAGTCACTCATGCTCTCGTCACCTCCCGCCTGGACTACTGTAATGCTCTATACATGGGGCTCCCTGTGAGGAGCATCCGGAGGCTTCAGCTGGTCCAGAATGCGGCCGCGCGGGCGGTGTTGGGAGGGACTCGTCGCTCCCACGTAACACCGCTGCTGCGCGAGCTGCACTGGTTACCAGTGGCCTTCCNTCTGGCCTAGGGAGAATTTTAAATAGGGACAATTTTAATCATTATTTTAACATGACACAGCGGTAAATATTTGTTTTTAATTGGTTTTTATTGGGGATAATGCTTTGGTACTGTTTTAATATGCTGTGAGCCGCCCTGAGTCCTGTGGGGAGAAGGGCGGCATATAAGTCTAATAAATAATAATAATAATAATAATAATCTATTATTTATCTATATTATTTATGAAATCCTCTTTATAGTCCCTGTAGCGAGAATCTGGTTTAAGTGAAAATAGACTAAACAGATTTGTGACAGTTTTATTCTATAAAGAACTGGCTTGCAGGATCAAACTAAAGAGTAACTCAGGGATGGACAATACTCTCCTCATTTTGGGTCTTACAGGGCCCTCCAGATTACTGCTGAATTTGGGTGGGATCCCAATCCAATTCATGAGTACAATTTTGGGGCCATTTACAAACCCCCCAAATATAGAAAATAAGCTCAATAATTTACTTCCTTACAAAACAAATTTCCTAACTCACCAAAAATGGTAAAGAAACTTGGGAAATTTTGACCTTGCATGACATTATGGTTGCTTAGAAAAACAGAACACTGGGGGGGGGGGGAGACAGAAATTAAGCATGGACTCTGATTGAAAAAGTTCTTTAATCTGCCCCTGTTCTCATTGCAATCTTTTGTACAACAGCAGTCAAATAAATACACTCTAGGGACTTGTTCCTCTCTCTCCTTCAAATGTTTGGCTACAAAGGTTCAATAGTAGCCTTTCTGGAAAATAAATCAACACATCCAGTGTGGTACAGAAGAAAGAAGGATCATGAAGACCCAGGTCACATTGTCTGTCATGAAATTCACAAGCTGACTCTGGGCCGGTCATTAGTCTTCAGTACAACCTAGGACTTTTGTGAGGAGGGAACTACTTGAACCTGCTTGAGTTCCTGAAGGAAATGTGGGAGACAAATGCAATGAACAAGGAAAAGAGGAAAGCAAAACAAGCAAGATTTTGTAAGATTGTAGAGTGAATTGTGTATAGCTAAAATCAATATGAGGAACACTTCGACATTTTTGACAACTCAAAGAGCTTTAATATTGTTAAATAGAACAATATTTTTGTTGCCATTTTAGTTCAATTTTTTAAAAGCCAATTCTGGTAACTTTGGTGCATATTCCTGATTCTCTACCTTCATTCTCACAAGTCTTCACTTATCTATATGGCCATCCCTTTCTCTGGGCTTTTATCTTATCCTCTTTTGGGCACAGCATGTTTTCATTTCAGCTTACCACTTTGATCATCATATCTCAGTCACTCCTCCAAGATCTCCCTGAAGTCCCTTCTTTCAAATTCCCCTTATTTTATTTTCCCTCCATCTCTATATCACAGCTACCTCTGAACTCCATTTCCTGCTTGCCAGAGGTCTCCCTTTGCACATCCCTATAACCCTCTCATCCCCTAATCACCCCATAGTAGTCTTTTTTGTTATTTCTGTGCCACAACAGCTCTCTGAAACCATGTTTCTTCTTTCATTTCTTTATTTGGCTCAGTTTAATTCCCCTTATATTATCTCTGTGTTTCCTCTGTAGAGATTCACTTGTTCTCTTTACCATCTAACCACAAAACCTTTACTCCCTGAGTGGAAAATAACTGACAAGCGGGGCTGTGCATATAGCTAACTGGCTTTCAATAAATAGGGATAACTGGCAGCAATTCCACCAGTTATAGCTGTTACCATGGTCATAGTAACACAAGCATTTCCCACATCATCCTGCCTGTTTGCAGAAGAAGCTGCAATCAACCCTCAATCCTTATAAGATGCAGACCCAAGTTAAGACAAAAAAGAAATAATATGCTTCACATAAATATATTGATTTCAAATGTACAAGTAGAAGCATCTAATAAATGGGAAGAGATTATTTAACATCCAACCTCTTTTTTTGGGGGGATTACTCTCATTGCACTTGTTCAAGTGCTTTCTTGAGGAGGAAATTAAGATAACATACGCAGATTTTGCAGAAATGAAACAAAAAGGTAAGGAAATTTGTGGGAGAAAATTTCTCTGTACCAAATTGATGCACAGATTGCTACAAATCTGGTGGCAAAAAATAATTTGAGTATCTTTATGTCCATCTTACAATCCTATTCTTTCCTGTTTTGTTCTCATTATGACTGGAGCAATGCCACACAACGAAAGAATATTAAAAAGCTGAGATTTCTATTTGCCCTTTTACCTAAAGAAAAAGGTCATTGTGTTTCCAAAACAGCATCCTTCTAGAATTCGGCCCCTTCAATTATTCAGAAATCAAAATTCTCACATGATTGAGTTCTGTTTTTTCTAAGTCTTTATTGAGAAAAAGAGATCAAAGCTTACTGTGCAACCTAACATGGCCCAATATTGCATTTTATTAAAACACTCAGGTTACTGAGGAAAAGTAGAAATATCTCCCACCCAGATTCGAAAAGGCCAGTATGAAAGATGATAGCAGTAGTTGGACATGCCTATTTCCCCTGGTCTTTCTCTTTGAAATATTTGAGATTCTTTCTGTGCTGTTTGCAGTGAGAAAGAAATAAGTAAAGGGAATATCTGAAGTAGTAAGCTTTTTCCCTCATATGTGCTTTGGCAGATATAACAGAGTATAAATGCAAGATATATAACACCCATTATGAAAATGAAATGGCAAAATAGAGAATGCCATGACCTTGACCACTAAAAATTTTACATTGGAGAGTCAAAGTTTATAGCATTTCTCTGTACTCTAGCATAAATCTAATGCTGGCAGAGATGTTTGGACAGGTTTTCAAGGAAAGTTATTTATTGCTTTTATTTTCTAGTTTTCAAATGCATGCAAATATCCATACAAAAATGTATATTTTAGAAGAATGCATATAGTTCACATTTTCATGCCGAGTTGGGTGGTGGGATGTATGCATACCTACTGATGCCATAATAAAACAAAACAGGTTCATGAATCTATTAAAATATTAAATTGGTGCAAAGATCTGTGGTAAGACTATGCTGTTGAATATCTAATGTTGGCTCTCTTCCCAGCCCAACAAAAAACATTAATGTCAGCATTTAATAATCAGAGATTTTTGTTTTAGCTTTGGAATATAACCTTGGTGCTCTTGGATTTATATTTCAATGGAAAGACAAAAAATGAAAAGAAACAAATTTGGGGTATTTTGGTTTAAGTTCTGTGTTTGGCATGCGTTCATTATTTCATTTCCATCTCTCTGTTTTTCCACCTACAAAATAAGGTAGTGTTCCATTTCCTACGAATTGATGTAGTGACTATATTGCAAATTCAAACTGATATGTAAGTTATAAACAGGAATGGATGTGCCATATGAAGGCGAGATAATGTTATTCCTAATAAAATTTAAGAGAGATCTTAAGTTTATTTAGCAAGTATGCTAGTTCACATCAGATGTCCTGTCACCCCCAGAGGCTCATGTGGGGATTATGCTCATTTTACATCAGTTGTAACTAGTGAAAAGAACATACCAAGGAGAGTAGATTAAATGCACACAACAAATACATGGTTGTGTATACAGAGTCAAGAATTATGTTAGAGAATATAGTAACTTCTCTGATGTACTCTTTGCCTTCGCTATGTGATCCCAATTGTCCCACACTGCAATTTTCCTCGCAATTGGGACTTAATCAACCACACAGGTTGAGAGCTAAATCTGAAAAACATTTCAGTCTGGGCAAAACTTTGAATTCAAGGCCAGAACTATATTTCAAATTATTCCATTAACTGGGTATTTCATAATTTTCTGAGAACCCTGTTTTAGTTGTCACATGCAAATTAGTGCATTACTGTGCAATTATACATGGAAACTTGTCTATAATAAATGGGCCTATAAAGCTTGATCTTCCTCAAGGCAGGTTGCAGTTTAGATCATTTACTTGTAAGAGCTTAATTACTTTAATTACATAATAGTGTTGTACCAACGAAAGGGGAAGAGTAAATCCTCTCAATCCTCTAAGCCAGGGCTCCTCAAACTTGGCCACTTTAAGACTTGTGGACTTCAACTCCCAGAATTCCCCAGCCAGGCTGGCTGGGGAATTCTGGGAGTTGAAGTCCACAAGTCTTAAAGTGGCCAAGTTTGAGGAACCCTACTCTAAGCTCTATTTTGTTTCAGTTTAATGTCCTACAGGTGCTTTTTCAAAAGGCAACTGGACTTTGGGATAACCATGACCTACATGACTGAGAATCTCCATAGATATTTCAGTTTAATGTACATCAAGATAGACATGAATGGGACTAAGCTATAACATTAATAGCAAAATCCTGCTTTTAAAGAAAAAAAGCATCTTACCTTTGCATTGTAAACCTTGTCTCAGAAGACCCCAAAGCAATGAACCACAGTGGTCACAGAAGGTGGGCACTTTGTAATTGTGAATGCTAAACTTATGAGGCATGTTGACACTGAAACGCTGAGAACCCACCTGGAAGATAAAAAGTGCAAAAGGATCAAAGTTAGCATGCTACTGTTTAATCCAGTGTGGCTGGTTGGTGAATTATGGGGGATGAAGTCCATCCATCTTACAGTTGCCAAGGTTAAGAAAAATTGAATTAATCTCAACTACTAGAAAAATAAAGTTGCTACCCTCTCAGTTTTTTTTTTTAAGTTTCCTATTGCACTTAAAGATATACAGTATTAATCACATTGACACAGAAGCAATTTTGATCTATCCCTGGGTAAGTGGTATTGTAGATATGGACAAGAAACCATTGTGTTGAGGCAGTGGCTCAGATATATCACTGCAATATATATCAGCCCTATGCTTGAAGGGACAGACTGTATGGTCGCTGGACGAGTTATATGGCTCTCCAAACCTACCATCACGTAGGATCCTTCCTAGCAGGATGCTGACATAATTACGAAAACCAGTAGGATGGCATGCAGCATTAGGAATTAGGAAAATAAGGTGATGGACATTTGCCACATGGGAAAGCACTAGCAATTTATTATCTTTTATTTTTGTGAAGAGGCCAGGAGAATGAGCATTTAGACATGGACTTGAGGGACAAGGCAAGTGACCTGCAAACAAACACTGACTGGCTAACAGTCCACCATTGGTCAGAAAAGGCCATAGCTAAGTAATTTCGGCTCCCTAAGAACTCTAGACCCATCATGTCTGTGCTCACAGCATCTTGATGTCTAGATCTGAAGAGAGTTAAAACAACCTAGATCAGGTTTGTGTGTATTTTAAATCGAGAGATGGAAAGACTGGTGGTTTGGAAGAACACTGACTTAAACACATTAACTCTGCACAGTTTCCTTTTATTTAGGCATTCCTTCTGTAAATATTTACCTCATCATGGGCTTCCTGCTTCTTCAAGCCAGCGCACTTTGTTATTATAAGCTCATGGCATCGCTTGTGGACTACGCAAGTACAAACTGTAAACAAGAGATTATTTTATCCATTATGAAAAAGAAAAAATAAATAAATGAGAAATTGTGGGGGATTCATCCCTATCCTCATTCCTCTTCAGGAGTCTCCTAAAAGGCCTAAATTAGATTATGGTCTGTGTGAAAAAGGGGGCTGGACATAAGGATAGTCTAGGAATTCTATTGAAATTGTGAGCAAAGAAAATTCTCAAAATGTTAAGAGTAAAGGTAGTTCATATTCTTATGACTCTATCACATTTTAAATAGTGTCAAAATATCTGTTTGCACTTTCACAGAAGAGAAATTAAGCTTTGAGGCTTCATAAACATTCTAAATCAATGAAATCATATTGAACAATCTGGAAAAGGCAACAGACTATTCCAAACTACCATATAAGGAAATATTTCTAGAACATAATTGCCTCTTGTTCAAAATGAGCTGTTACAGTGTTATTGTCCACTGGTTTTAAGGATGTTTTATTGCTTTAGAATTGTAAGCTACTTGGAGCAGACTGAGTAGATGGTGTAAAATAATACAAAGAAACTATAAAATAAGTTCATACATTAAAAACATAAGAGTTGCTTTGGACATGTTCAACCTTAATGCAGTGATACTTGGACTTGCACCCTTCTTCCCTTGGCATGAGAACAAAACATCTGAAGTGTTTATTTCTGTTTAAGGTTACTCATAATTTGCTGTGTCATCCAAAGCCAAGCAAATTGTAGTTAACCTTAATTACAATCTATCTGAAACAAATCAACTTCTAATTGTGGATTTTGACTCATCACAGTAATAATCAATCACTGAGGTGAAGCTAGGTAGCATCCAAAATTTTAGTTAATCTGTAAAAATACTGATCAGTTTATTTGAAGGAGAAAACTGGGTAAGTTGTAGAAGCTTCTACACATGAATGACCCGATTTTATCACTTGTTCTGCAGCACTTATTAAACAAACACCACAGTTATAAAGTGAACACAGTGGTTAATAAGAGATCAATGTGGTCCTATGGGCAGTTTTTGCTGGAAATTGGCCCAAAGACCAGAAACTGACAAAATACATTATAAATCATGGTGATATGACTGCAGAGTGCTACAACCAGCTATAAAAGAGAGCTGATTGCCATGTGCCCAAAATGTAGTCATGTGACCAAAGGAGGGTCTGAACTTCAGAACTGGGTCATAAGTATTGTTTGGGAAAGTTGTCAGAACTTTGAATGGTCATTAAGCAACCAGTTGTTGTTAACCAGTTGTATTTGCTTGCTGTCAAACCATCATGGATCACCATATCAGTACACTAAACTTACAACTACAACTACAGTTTGGCACTTGAAATATCTATTGTACTTAGCTTCTGAGTCTTAGTCTTTTAAGGTTTCTTGGATTCTAACCTCTTTCCTGTATAATATTTTCAATATACTATCTTTCTTTCATTTTCATTTTCATTTTCTTTGAATTGGTTACTATCTGTCCATTGTCATCCTTTAGCATATGAATTTGAAGTGGGAACCTTTTTCTGAGTTTAGAGATCTTTTGGAAGACTATCCTTATGTCTATTCCCATCTTTAATGTCATGTTGTTGTACTACTGTACTGCTTCTTGTCTTTTCTAACAGCACTCTGAAACTTCTTGTTATATTTCTTTCTGAGATTTTTGTCTTTCTTGACTTTGGCTCCTCTTGTCTTCTTGATAATATCCATGCTTTGTACTGATGCCTACTTTTCTTTCTTCTGTTTGTTCATCTTTGGCAGTCTCTTATCATATTCATTCTCAATCACTTCTTTAAGTTCATTCCAGAGTAAGTCTGGTTCTCTATCAATAGGTTTTAGTACTTCAAAGTGATTCCCGATATTCTTCTTGAAAACGGTATGTATATATTGAAGATCATATTGTGCAAATTAATTGGTTTTCTTCTTCTTTAGCTTAATTTGGAGTTTGTTCCACAGTCAGCATCTAGTTATGTCTTTGATGCTATAACTGAACTCTTCCATATCCTGTTGACAATGATATAGCCAATTTGATTTCTATGTATCTAATAATGTCCATCTACAGAGGTGTCATTTCAGATGTTTAATGGCTATGTTTGCTTTGAAGATATCCTGCCAGTGACACTCTATGAAAGTGAAAGTTGGACTTTGAAGAAAATAAACAGAAAAAAATATTGACACTTTTGAAATCTGGTGTTGGAGAAGATGTCTGAAAATATCATAGCCACCATGAAGACAAAGAAATGGATTGTTGAAGAAATTAACCCAGAGTTCTCATCCAAGACACAAATGATCAGGCTCAAATTATAGTATTTTGGAAATATTATGACTTAACAATCAATTGATGACTCATGATAAAATTCTGAGTCTTAGTAGAAATGAACAATCTTGTTGTCAGAGTCTACGCAAGGAAATATTTAAAAATATTAAAACCTAAAACAGATAACTAATCTTAATCCCAAAAGGTATATGAATATCAAATACTATGTCTAAAAGCAGCTAACAGTTCTAGGTATGCACTGATGATGTTACCCAGTTTGGGTAATGAAGTGTCTCAGAGAGCACCAAGGACCCCTCAGATCTGCGTATCTTAATAATATAAGCCAGAGATCCCCAACCTTTTGGGCACCAGGGACCAGTTCCGTGGAGAGAGGTTTTTCCATGGACCAAAGGATGCATGGTTTTGTGTGCTGCCTGCATCTCACCGATGGGGCTTTGCTTGTTTGTGTGGACCAGTTGCTGGCATGCTGTGCCCGGTACTGGTCCACGTACCAGGGGTTGGGGACCCCTGATATAAGCGATACAACTATAATTTTCCTATTGGTTTACTTACAACTTTTAAATGAAGAATCCAATAACAACTATTTTTGTGTTATCAGTTTATCCCGTCTGTACTAACACCTTCTGCATATTCTACATGTTTTCTACTCACAGAGTAAGTTGGGAAGGGGTGATAGCAATGTCAGTTGCATGCAACCCCAGACTGTATGCTTCTGAAAGACATTTGACCAGCCACTGTGGGCAGCTGTTAAAACAACACTACTGCATTGTACTTTAACCAGGACTCAATGTTTATAAGGGCCATCTGGGGATTTTTATTAATTGTATGTCATTTTGTGTTTATTCTCTAATTTTGCTCTGTTGTATGCTGCCCAGATGAGATCTGCATTATAAAAACTGTGAAAGAAACAGACAAACAATCTTTCTGGATTAAGACGAATGTATTCAGCAAGGCTCAACTTTCATCCAAAATCCATGGAAGCTCTTCCAGGAGAAGCACCAGAATATCCTTCATTATTCTCTGTTTCCAGACATCTCAGGTGCTCCGTACTCAGAACAACTTTTGTGTTTGCTGAAAAGGACTGAAAAACCAGGTTGACCATATACACTTTCTTCTTATCCATGTAGGGGCTTCCAAAATTATGGGGAATTTAGAAAAAACTGCGAGAAAATTATTTCCTCTAAGTCCCTAATGTGGTTGGATGCCATGGCATGCCAGCAACCGGTCCACACAAACAAGCAAAGCCCCATCTGTGGGATGCAGGCAACACATAAAACCACACACCCCTCCGGTCCGTGGAAAAACCTCTCTCCACGTAACCGGTCCCTGGTGCCCAAAGGTTGGGGACCTCTGGCCTAGGGAATGATCAGATAAGAGATACCATACCCCACAGCTGTCTAATAGGTAGAGAAAGAAACTCAGAAAAGAACTTCCCTAACTTATTAGGCTGTAAAAGAGAGGGCGAGGGATTTGTACTATCAGATTTTCAAGATTCTGTTAAGGTAGCTTTACAATAAAGTAGAATTAGCTCATCTGATCAGGTTTCCTGTCTTAAGAATCCTGACACCTAATAATCAGGGTTCCTTATAGATTCTATACATATTCATAAAATGTACAATTTTTCTTACCTTGACATTGGTACCCTTGTTTTCCTATTACTCCCCTGTTGTTGTTGTTGTTGTTGTTGTTTTAAAAAAAAAAGAATAGTAGAGAACATATTAGGGATAGACCAAAGATGTAATTACACATTGTCATTTATCATACAGTGAATGGCTAAGAATGAATCTACAGTATGGAAGACCATGTTGGCTACATTTCTATTTATGCACGAATATTCTCCTTCGAATTCCACAGATGCAATTAAATAAATAACTAAAGTGATCAAACTTACTTTGCCTTCTTTCTATCTTACATTTTATGAAATGCCACCAAGCAATTTTCTTTGCATTGTCTCTGCTAACTCATATGTCTCCTAGTATTGATAAGACTTTGCCAATCTTATCCCTAACATCTTCATTATCTGTGAAACTTCAGAATGTTTGGCAAGGGCTACCTTTGTTTCAGCACTGAAGAAACTGGAAAAGCTATCACTGCACTCTCTTCACCACATATCTATTAGAAGTGCAGATGTAACATGAAGAGGCCCTATAGTCCAAATTAATCTTACATTAATCTAAACATGACCTTCTGCTGTGCTTCAATTACAGTTCTAACAACAAATTAGATCCCACTGATGATTGCTTCTAAGTAAAGATATATGGATCAAGTTCAGACAAAGTGTTTCTACCTTACACTGAGGACGGTTGCTTAGCAATAGAATCAGATGGGATGAGATAAGCTGAAGGAGTTCACTGAGCTACAGTTTGTGTAACCCTGCAATGTGGGAATGCCACAGCAGTGGCTATGAAATTCACTGTGGCTGAATATTCTTGATATATTCAATTCTTTTTCACTATTTGGAAATGAGAACATCCAAATCAAGGAAAATCTATACTAATTGCCTTACAATAATAAATTTAATAAATAATTTAATAAATAAATTTAAATTTAATAAATAATAATAATGCAACTCTATACATGTCTCCTTGGAAGCAAGTCCCACTATATTCAGTGAGTCTTACCCCAATAATGTGTTCACCTGATTACAGTCTTAATTTTGTTTTACTAGAGTACAAAGAATTTGATATCCACTATATATGCTTGCATAATGTATAATTATTTAAAAGGTACATAACCACAAAGTTACAGGAAGCCTTTGCATATCTCAATGTATAAAATAATGACACCATTATTTCATTAATTATTACTTTTCTGAAAGGATTAATGCAAACAATTTCCAATAGCCAAAACAGCAATGGTAATCATGTTACCATGAAAAAAACAAGCCAGATGATATGAGAAATGTCGCCATATAATAAAATTTACCATATAAAGTCTCGGCAGTGTGAACAATAGGTTGGTTGTCTAAGATAGGTGGCCATAAACTTGTGCCCATTAACCTGATGGACCCTGCGTCGCACTGCCCCCTGGCGCTTCCTGGGGCGCATCCGTTCCCTAAATACTCTTTCTTCATTGTCTTTGGGTGCTGAAGGGAATAAAAAGAGAGAGAGAAAAAAATGGAAGAGATTAACGAAATTTAATATTCCAGCACAAAACTGAAGAACAGAAATAAAAAAGCAGAATGCACAACTTCAAATTAATTCTCATATATCCATGTTTCTGAAGGCTAATTACACTAAATACAAACAATAAAAACCGAGCACCAAGAGGAATATAACAAAATCTAAAATTTAATGGGCCAAGCTTTCGTCAGAACCCTCTGACATCATCAGGGCCTTAAAACAGCAGTCTGGAAGAAGCCTTTATATAGCGGCAGGAACAGCTGGGCCCGTTAACGTGCAGCAGGAGCCGGATGCAGGCTGCTAACGCTATATAAAGGCTTCTTCCAGACTGCTGTTTTAAGGCCCTGATGATGTCAGAGGATTCTGACGAAAGCTTGGCCCATTAAATTTTAGATTTTGTTATATTCCTCTTGGTGCTCGGTTTTTATTGTTTGTATCATCCATGTTTCTATGTGTATTCCACCATACCTCCATACTCTTTTCTGATTTTAAGTATTGTAAATCCATTTGTTTTAGAGCAAATTGTTAATATGTATGATTGTATGAATAGGCTTAAATGTATGCAGAAACTTCATTAACCTAGTGTCTTTGAATGTGCTGAACTTCAACTCATTCCCAATGGGCATATTGATTGGAGACCAATGCATCCAGAGACCACTAGGCTGGAAAAGGCTGGTGAAATGTTTGAAATCATAAATCCATTCAGTAATGGATATATAATTTTGAATTCTTTGGGGATTAATAACTGATAGTTGGGAGGGAGAATTCTGAGATATTAAATTAAACTATGTTCCGTCTTTCCTACTGGAGTTTAAGAAGATTTATATGGAGATCTTCTTTCCTTTTATCCTTACAAAAATAACCCTATGAGTATGTTAGGCTGAGAGCAAGAGAATAGCCCAAAGTCATTTAACAAGTTTCCCTGGCTGAGGATGGATTTAATCCAGGGTCTCCCCAATTCTTGTCCAATACATTGATTGCTACACCACAATAGCATATTTTCAAAAGCTTGGGGCTCAGTGGATTTCATTAAGAGACCTCTCCACAATTGCTTGGAAAGGTATTGATAATAGATCTTGCTGGAGTGAGCCCTTCTGAGGATACAATGTGCTGAGGGAAGCTGTCTGCAATTACAGTATGGAAAAGCTGACAAGGCTGAATCATAACTTTGTCACCTACACCAGTGTCCAAGGTCCAGCACCCAATCCCTTCATGACCATTAATTCTCAGAAGTCTATATGTTGACTGATTGTAACAAAATAAATCACATTCTATCTCCTCCCTTAATGAAATTGCAGAATAATAATGCAAATGTAAAGCATGAATGTAAAGCATCAGCACCCTAGCTGCATTAGATATATTGAAAATTAATTATTGAAGTGAGGTAAAAGCTAATTCTATCAACATACCTCCTTTCAAAGGAATAATAATCAGCATTTTTTTCTATAGTTGCTTTAGGCAAGTAGGATATAAGAGTGAACCAATTTTTCTTGTTGAGAAATTCCCATTTGTATATCAAAATACTGGTTTTTTGCACTTTTCATTTTTGGTTTTTTTAATGGAAATGCAGCACTTTTCCCCTTTATCTTCAGCAATTGCATTAATCACAGTTGCTGCAGAAGCCATGACGTGTAGAGATCTTTCTCTCATACACATATGCACGTTTTGGCTACCAGCTGTGTTTCCAGCATCAAAGCAAAGCCACGCTGATGCTATGCTGATGCTTCCCACTGTGTTACATGTATCTGAATAAGCGTCTCACAGCAGCTTCAACCCAAGCTTTGCCCTTTGGGTTTGCAGGAAGGGGGGAATCATAGGAAGGACTTGCATCATCCAGCCCAGTTGAAGAGGAATATCTATGTGAGTAAACCCAAAAGATTCAACCTGCAGGTGATGAACTGAGAGAGCTGCCTCATGTCAGAATGAAATATATAGGATGAAGAGGGATCAGGAAATATTTCCAGACTTGATGCTTTGGGTTTCAAAATGGCCAACATTCAGTTAATCCTGAGCTAACACTACCGAAGCCTTAATGCTCTTAGGAAAACTGTGAGTTAACACAATATGAAGGGTAACACACCTAGAAGTTTTTCCTAATTACTGAGATCTGCCTCTGAGATCCTGCTTTAGTCTAAATGTGTGGCGTATGACACCCTTTGGTGTTCTAAGTTTTTACTGAGGCAACCCAAGTATCTCAGAGCACCACAGCAAGACCTCTGGTAAAAAAAAATCCTCTGGAATATCTATTATCTTGTATTTTGTTTAATGTTGTTCAGATACACAATAGTTTTAGATCAGAGATAAAATGCAAAGTTTGCATGAGTTTGATCCATGGACTTTCCAGTCAAAAGAACTGGTAGCAGCTGAGGAGGAGCATACGTGGAATAAATTAGCTTTTCTATGGATTATGACGGCTTGCAATTATAACCTAACAATTCTGGAAGTTACTTGGTAAATAATCTGATTCAGCTCAAAATTTGACTCAACTGAATAGTGAGATGTTAGAGGTAACAACTCACAGATGATTGAAGTTCCTCTTCTTTGAGTGGGACTCCAATGTACAGAATCTGATCTGCTATCTTCTGAAGTTCCTTCCCCTGATGTTGTAAGACAAGATAAGCAACAGTTCAATGTGCAAGAAAAAAAAATGGACAGTCTTGGTATTTTTTTTCTGCTGTGTCTCTTTAAATTACTACTGAATATTACTATTAGCTCTAGACAGCATGGTCAAATACAAGGTACCATATAGGCTGTAATCTAAAATATCAAGAAAAAAACTAGTCACATCCTTTTTTTTTAAAAAAAAAGTAAAAATCATTGATAAGCAGCTGGATCAATTCTACTTTCAGCATGTGAAAACACTTTACTGCAGCCCATCTTGGAGAATGTCATGGCTCATAGTGGACAGAGATTATAGAAATGCAGAAATGTAGGGAAGCTCTGAACAGGATAGTCAATAACAGGATGCAAATCAGTGATCCAACTCAGCAGAAGAAAATTGAAGTGGCCCATATCTCCCTAAAATATGTTCTCTGTCTTCTTTTCTCAAAATGTAGGTTGCTCTATGTAAGTGCCAGATTTGGAATATGTATGCTATACTTTACTTAAAACTGAAGTAAACTAAAACTAAAGAAATATAGAGCAATGTATTTCCAACCTGTTTTATAGAACTCTAAAGTAGTCACTTGTGCCATAGCAAAATCAATGATCTAATGAAATTTAATTTAATTTTTGGTACACACTCAATGGAATTTAGGAAGGAATTTAGTAACAAGGTTTGATCCAGCTAAGAAGTGCCAAAATACATTAGCTCAAATCTAGATAAAGCAGCTGAGCTGAAATGAAGTAATTTAGAATTAGAAGTCAATTATCATTGGGCAAAGGACTGAAAAAGAGTGTTGCTTGTACCAAAAATGCCTAAATCTGATCCAAAGATGAGCTAGTCTAAGTCTCACCCCATTTTAGAATGCAGCATAGCAGCAGGCCTTGTGATGGCATTGTTCTAGGTTGCAAAACCGAAATGGATTATTTTGGAAAAGTCATGCAAGATGCCCTAATTCTGATCTTTATATACAAGTTGACCAGGGGAAGATTGACCATCTCAAACATCTATACTATAGATGACTTAAAACATAAACTAGAACCCATATATTAAGAGATATAATATTTTTAAAAATGTTTTAGTAATCAGACAGATCCTGTCCTTCTGTTGGCTGGGAAGTCTGAAGCTGTAATTCCTATACATCTAAAGGGGCATGTCAGGGACAGTTATTTATGTTACCTGATTTTCAGGATTTTGGACTTGCGATCCAGTTATTCTCCAAGGATACTTGCAAAAGGAAAAGTGATGCATTTTCTTTTACCCAATGAAATGCCTTCTGATTGTTCTTGCTGCAACTATTGTTTTGTACATGAGAACATTTTCTGAAATTTCTCCAATATAATTGTAAGGCTACAATCTAGACAAAATTAATACAATTACTATGGTTGAAAAAATAACTTTCAGAGCAAGAAAGAGGTTCCATTTTATTGGAACTTAGGGGTAAAAAAAATCAAGCTTCTCCATTTAAATATAAACTAACTCTTCTTGACATATACTCTGCTTGGGCCATAGCTCACCGAAGAAGTAGACAACCTTTTAAATTGAGCACTGTGCAGTATTTAAAGCTCACAAAATGGCTGCCCCTGGAGGACTTGCCTACAGTATTCTATAAATGGCTGCCACCGTCAATATGTTCAGTCACAAAATGTCCTTTTACTAGAGAGTGAGCTACTCCCTCTGCTGATATTTTCTAAATCTTCTGGTGGATTTTTTGTTGGGCTCAAACATATTCTTACACACAACTAAATATGATGCTAGAAGCTAGTGTTTTGCTTTGTAGCATGGACGTTTATTTAATTTGTTGTTTGCTATTAGTATATTTTTTTAAAAAAAAAAATCAGGTAGGACAGAGCTAGCTGGAGGACAATTGGGTGTCCATGGGTGCCATGTTGCTTATCTGTAGATTTATTGGGTTAGCATGATGTCCAAGCAAAGCCCACTCACCTGAGTGGTATTGTATATTATGTACCTATACCCTGTGAATATTCCAAACGCACATGTTGATATCATATGGGCATAGAAAACTGTTCGTTCATTTTCATTTAACGTATTTATTTCTCAAGATTTCGCTTCTGCCCAAATTAGAGAGAGAGAGAGAGAGAAATCTGTGTGTGCCTGAAATAAATTCTGTGGGTTTACATGACATTTCCCTTTTCCCAGCCACTGCAGAAGGGCTGAGAGAAAAGCAAATGATTGAAAGCCATCTGGGCTACAGAAAAATTGGTTACTGCTGCTGACTGCTGCTGACTTAAAATGTCGTTTTGTTGTTGTTGGTGGTGGTTTTTTTAAAAAAAAAATCAGCTTGTTTATATAGCTTGTGCACATAGCTTAATTAATTACCTCCTAATTTTATCAAGTCAT